CTCTCCGCTGGAACCACCCCCGCGCGGAGAGGGATGCTCATCCGCGCGCGGATGGTTCGACGAGAGCTGTCAGAGGGGAAAAAAAAGAGGAAGAGGAAGAGGAATAAGCAAGAGGAAACGGAGTGCGATTGATTCTGTTCAGATCAATTACGTGGAAGATGTTTGATTGTAGAATCCTTGGATCGTTCGTTTCGATGCGAATTCGAAGATTGGGGGTTGGAGATAATCCTTGATGTGACATAAGCGGAGATGGGAAAGATTAAAATTAGATTGGATCCAGGGTGAATATTGGAATAATGTATTTATATTTTGTTATATAGAAGTTATATTGAGAGGAGTTTGATAAGAAAAAAAAAAAGGGAAAAAGAAATTGATTAAATATTTATTATAATTTGAAAGATAGATATTTGGAGAAAGATGGAGTGTTGTGCGTGAAATCAAGTTTGCGAGGCAATATCGAATATTATATAAATGAATAATTTATGCCTTATTAAATATAGTGATAATTGTTCGCTATAATTCAACAGTATACAATGCTTGTTAATAAATTACAAGGCTTATGAGGAGATATTTAATACCCATTCCCTTTGATCGAGAAAGATTTTGTTGCCAATTTTTTGGATCGATGAAAATAATAAAAAGAAAAAAAGAAAAGGGAGGAAGAAAATTCCATCGATCGAGAAGGGTTGAAATCGGAATAGAAGCATATTCGCGGAGGGTATGTACGGCGGTTAAGCGTCGGCAAGATAAACGACGGATGCACGGAATGTGTGATACATGTGACAGGGGAAAGTTGCGGCCAATGAAAATGGATGATACGAACTTTCAATGTCTCTTTTTATCGCGCTCCTACATTCCAAACCGTATCAAGACCGTTGTCTCTTTCAACCTTCATGTATAATGTATCGCCCTTTTGCGGATTCTTTAATCGCGATATACCGATTTATGTTACCACCTCGAACGATTTTCTTCTCAATCCCGACGAAATAATATAATCCGATTTACGCGGTGAAAGTTTAATTCCCGCGTTTCAAATTCAAGCAACAACCGATTACATCGATCGGTATATAAATAATCTTAAATTTATGTAGATTAACGATTTATTCGTTTAACGAGACGATCGAGACATCGACAAAAGGACTCCGTTGAAAGCTTTAAATCTCTTTCCTATATCCACTTTACAATTCATCCAGGTCGTCAAAGAGATCTTTTATTAGGGACATCGATCCCTTCCCCCCTCCCCTCCCCCTCCTCTTCCAGCTCGAAGAAGGCAAGCGTAAGAACGTAACGGGGTGAAATAAAAGATGACGGGACGAGTGTGAAATGAAATTTACTCACTGTAGGATTGGGCATACAGCGTCGCGGCGGCGGCGGCATGGGGTCCGGTGCGGCACGATAAGGAGGCGGCGAGTACCTTCCCGAAGGGAAACAGCCAGGGGCGGTGATCGGTGCCCCGTGGAGCCCCTTGCTCCCCATCATCTTGTCCGGTGAGTACATCATCCTGCTGCCAGCCAAGTCTAAGCCGCCTAAGCTTAGACCTAAACCAGTCGAGAACCGGCACCCTCAAACGGAACGACTCTGCTTCACATCAGTGTCCGCGGTGTTCGCATCTGTGTGCGCGAGAATTATCTCGACGTCGTCCCCCCCCTCTGTCTGCAACTCTTCTCTCTCTCTCTCTCTATCTTTCTCTCGTTCTTTCTCTCTCTCTCTCTCTCTCTCTCTCTGCCCGATCAAGCAGATTGTCTTCTTCCTTTCCACTTTCACTTTCACACCCGAAGAAATCCACCCGATTCGTTTTATCGTAGAGTATCTAAGCTCGACTCAACACACGCCTCTTCTCTCTAGTAGCCACCACTCATCCTCGTCGCAGCGGATCCACCGATTTATCTACGCTCGCTCGTCGAAAGGATCGCGGATCCGTTCGCATGATGCACGACGAACGGGATGCTGCACAACACGATCGCATCCACGTAAGACTG